CCTCAAATCGCCATTACCAAGTTTGGCCCAGACGAGGGCTATTAAAGATATCAGAAAACCTCTTTATTTAGCAGACTTACTTATCATGGGATAGAGATTAAAGAAATTTAGTGTTATTCCGTGATTCTTCTTATCACAGAAGCAGATTCAGCTCGGTTGCCTAAAGAAGAAGCATTTAAAGTGACCTCAATTCCTTAACAAAATTTTGCGTGTCCTGTGTTTTACGGAAATCAAAACCTGGTTGATACACAAATTTTAGCATGAGAGTCACGAAAGGCCCAAAACAAGTCGTAACTGCGACCTAATTTGCTTCAAACTAAGTCAACACATTGTTAGGGGGACCTTGATTTCCGATGAAAGTGCATGAAGAAGAGATTCGTTGGTCCATCTCACCATATGAGGATGGATGGATCTCATTGTACTGCAGCCGTTTGGGTTTTATACGATATTTATGTTGACGAAGTCCACGAGATTTCCTCCCTTGTTTCGGGTGAAAACGTGCTGAGCTTTCGTCCATCATATGACGGACATTATCAGAGCTGGGTGTCATTCTTGTAAAAGTCTCACGTTAACACTAAAGCAAGAACACAATCCGGCTCTATCTTACTTCTTATATGGACTCAATCGAGCCAAAAAAATTAAAAATCTAGATCGATATGGAGTGGTTTGATTAATTTTCTTTCATAATAGTTCTGTTATTTTTGCTCGATTGTATGAGTATGTGTATTTGTGTGTGTTAGCGTCTATATGCAACACGGTTCCTAAATCAGACTTGTCAAAGGTTAAATCACAAGTTCTGACCCTCAAGACCTAATGACCTAAGAGAAAATCTTTGACCGAGACTGCCTAGGTCCGTAAACAAGTATGGTTGAGATAATGAGATATTAGCTTGTAAGCATGAAAATCAAGTTATGAAACCACTTGTCCTAACCTTTCAGTCAAGGGTCATTAACGTTTAACCCTCCAAGGAAAGGCAAAACTGGGGTTGCGTAATCTGACATTTCTGGTTTGTTTGAAGAGCTTACTCTAACATTTTGGGCGAATGTGAGTGAAATTAGAACCATCACTGAGCAGACAAATTGAGTCGCCTTCTTTTTGACAGCAGCTCAACAGCCTCTCTCTCTTTCAATCTATCAATCAAGCATAAGTAATTCCTATTCAAT